TCATCTGTTCCTGGAGTCTTGTTTTTTGCCATTTCCTTTATTGCAGCTTCCACCTCAGTTTTTAGAATTTGGGGTTCATCTTCATATGGCTCTTCATTCCATGTCCTTCATGTTGTCATTTCTTTTATATAACTCTTCTGTGTATTGCATCCATTGTCTTTTTATTCCTTTCTGGTCTTGAATTATGTTATTTTTATCGTCGTAGAACATCTCGATCCTTGGTTTCAACTTTCCCTTGATTTCTCAAATCTTGTGGAATAGGTCTCCTGTTCTTCCCTTTTTGTTCTTGTCTTCTATTTCTCTACATTTGTCATTGTAGTAATTTTCCTTATCTTTGTGCACTAGCCATTGTACTGTTGCACTCCTGAAGAAACCTTCCCTGAACCCTCTGGATATGAAAAACTATAGACCAGTCTCGCATTTACCATTCTTAAGCAAGGTGATTGAGCGAGCCGTTGCCTTTCAACTCCAAGCAATTTTGGATGAAGCTGATTTTCTAGATCCATTTCAAACCGGCTTCAGACCTGGATATGGGATGGAGATGGCCATGGTTGCTCTGGTAGATGACCTTCGCCTTAGCACTGACATGTATAGCATGCCATCCTCTTGGAGCGCCTGAGAGAGTTGGGAGTAGGAGGCACTGCTCTTCAGTGGGTTCCATTCTTTCCTCTCAGGCAGGCTCCAGAGGGTGTCACTAGGGGACAGCTGCTCCTCAAAAACAGAGCTAAAATGCGGCGTTCCTCAGGGCACCATTTTGTCCCTGATGCTGTTCAATATTTATATGAAGCCACTGGGAGAGATCATCAGGAGACATGGAGCAGGATGTTATCAATATGCAGATGACACCCAAATATTCTGCTCCATGTCTTGGTCAGCTGCCATGACGTCAGATGGCAGTTCTCCCCTCAGTCAACGTCTCAAAGTGGTAATGGACTGGATGAGGAAAAACCGATTCAAGCTGAATCCAGACAAAATGGAAGTACTTACAGTAGGGGCCCCCAAACTAGGTATTAGGTTGCGACCTCCAGTCCTGGACGGGGTCATGCTCTCTGTTAAGGACTGAGTTCACGGTCTGGGGTGCTCCTAGACTCGTCACTTCACATGACAGTTCAGGTGAA